ATGTATGTATGTATGTATGTATGTATGTATGTATGTATGTATGTATGTATGTATGTTTGTCCCTCTCTCTGTATATGCATATACTTTGCCCACTGGTCCAACTGGCCCAACTGGTCTGTACATTATCTGCAAAAATTACACGTTGGCCACCTTTTCGCCTTAGGGATGCAGCAAATGTTGGGCCCACTTGGGTCCAGCCTCCTGTCGGCTTCTCTCGGTCCCTTCTGGCGTGGCCTGATCGTCTCAAGGGAGACCTGAAGCAGACTATGTCTTCTCTCGCCTCATTCCTTCCGCTAGGCTGCGTATGAGTTGAGGGAGTCTCTGTGACTTGAACAAAATAGAACTGCAGTCAACACGAGTGCTTAAAAGGCATCTCTACCGTGAGACTGTTGTTGCATGAAGTGGACGCTAATGGAGGACTGAAGTGCCTGATTTGGGACAGTTTGGGGTAATTTGTAGACTGGCACGAGGTGAATAGAGATGGCCTCTCGGCTAAAAGAGGCCTGAAAAGAGCTGATTAAGAAGAGTCGTCATCAACACTCTCGAAGCCGTCTTCTGAGTTACGGCCAAGTGTGCCTTACTTGGCCGTGTCACTTTTTTGCCATTAATACAAACTTTGGTCACTCTAGGTTGCAAAAGGTGATTCAAGGTCTAATACTAAAAGCTTCCACATCGAAATGTATATGACTAGCCTCTCCAAAGGCCTTATCCTCTCGACTTGTCTACTGTTTTGACCTCTCCCAGGCCTTATCAGCCCTCCCAAAGTTGTTTGAAACCGAGAGACACATTACTACTCAGCTAGACGGCCATAGGTACAAGTGGGTGGCAGGACATATGTGATAGACAGGGCAAATTGGGCCTCTGCAAAATTACAGTTCACGAATTGGGATTCTTGATGAGAAAAATATGTAGTTGTCAGTAGACCTGACAACGTATTTTTTCGGTATGAACATGTTTCGAGACTATCAGTAATTCTTGATTCAGAACGGAAACACCCAGATTATCTTAAAGTGATGAAGAACTGATAGTTGATTTTTTCCACAATGAGATGAGTAGACGTCATCATTCCATTGAATTTCATATAGCCTTGCCTCCGTAAATGCTTTCTCATCTAAACTGGACTGCAGTTTCGATTCCATTCCACACTCTCATCGGCACTCACAGCAAACTTCGAGACCTTGTTGTGTGCATCGGAGCGACGCAAGTCTAACCTTCCTTGCACGGCCACGAGGGACATTGGCTCACAGGTCAGATTCGACATTCAAGGCAAGCCAGGCCAAGCTCAAATCACACTTTCACATAAAAACATTTGGGAGGAAAGAAATTGTGGGGAATTTTGCAAAAATGTTGGAAAAACTGCCCATTTAACTCTTAGATCAGGTTAGCAAACCTAGAGTGACCAAATTCCTCTTCCATACTTACTGATTTTATCTACCATACTCACATAAAAATAAGTGATCCTTCAAATATAATTTCGATTTTTGTCTTGCGGAATTTTAATTCCGGGAATAGCCTTAGGCTCAAAGAGCAGCATTAGTGAGTTCGTCCTCTTCCCACCACCGTGGCAACGTCTGAAGGACAGTTTTATGACAAATATCTTCCAAAATGTATGTTCCCAGGATAGCCTCTGCCGAGAAATCGCATCACATTCACCCACAGAAGATCCTATTCAGTTTATCCTATGATTTGTGAATAGGTACCTTAGCCTTTTAGCCTTTTGACAAGTAATATTGTTATCGGAGGCAATTCATGCTGAATTGTACGGATACTTCGAATCTTCTGTCTGTCTCGCTGAACGAGGACATCTCAAGAGATGACTATTGGCCGCAAGACCAAGACAATTTTAGGTGATCATATACATGTATATATATAATGGGTATTCTTAGACTTCATTAAATTAAGTATTGAATATATATATATATGCACACACCCATCTACCTAACCAGCTATCTACCTGTCTACTTACCTATCAATCAATCAATC